CGCCGGGCCCCGCCCGCCCCCCCGCCCAGACATGGCCCCTGCCTCTTCCCCAGCCCCAGCTGTAGCAGAGGGAGGCACAGGCAGGCTCTGGGTGCCTTTGAGCATGGGCCAGAGTTTTCTGGCACCACGGGTGTCCCCGGGGGCTGAAATCCCTGTCAGCAGCCCCACACTGCTCCACGCAGCCAGGGCTGCAGCTGCAGGTGCTTGGGTTGGTCCTGCCCCCCTGAGCAGGTGGTGAAAGGCAGGGTCTCCTCCCCTTTCCCCTCCCCAGGGAAGCCAGCAGCCAGGAGCGTGGCAGAAGAGGACATCGACGCCCTGATCTCTGCTGCCATCAAGGCTGACAACACCTGCAGCCTCCCCAGCTGCCCAGCCAGCCTGGCAGCCCTGGGCCAGCTCTGCTCCCACTGCAACAGGCGCTACTGCTTCAGCCACCACCTCCCCGAGGTACCGCGGGGCTGGGCAGCCTGCCCTGGGGCTGCAGGGGGGTGGGATGTGCTGAGCAGCCTGGGCTTCATGTGGGAATTTCTCACCTCGAGCTCCCCAGGCGGGATCTCCTTGCAAAGAGTTTGGAGCAGAACCCCCTGACAGGGCTTCTGCTAGAAGTGCAGGTGGAAAGGGCTGCCAGGCATCAGCGCGTGGGCTCTGCACGCCTCCCCCTGCCAGCTGGGTCTTTTCTTGCCTCTGCCTTTGTGCTTTTCTTTCCCTTTCACTGGCATTTACACTCTGGGGTTGTGCAGGTAAAGCAAAGCAGAGAGGAGGAATGAAGAGACATGAGTTCAAGGCAGGGCTGGGGCCCAGGCAAGGCTGGAGCCTGCCCGGAGCAGTGCTGTGTGCTTGCTCAGCCAGCAGCCTTTTCCTGAGGTGCCTTCACTGGCCTGGAGCTGAGCTGCTCCTCACTGGGCAGCCTCAGCTTCAGCTCCATCCCTACCTGAGTGACAAAGCCCCTCTGCTTCCCTCAAGGACTCCAGAGCAGGCATCTCAGCATCCTGGTAGCATCCTGCACCTCGTTGGGAAGTGGTGCTGTGATGGCCACTGAACCAACAGCTTCTTCCTTGCTGTCCTTCGATAGCTGCTTGACAGCCCTTTCCTCCCCAGATCTGAGAAGGAAACAAGGAAACTAAGCTTAAGCTGCTGTCAGCCTTCATCCTTTTGTTGGGGTGCAGAGGTGAGTTTGAGCCTCCAGGGTTGGCAGCTTCATGGTACACTGGCCTCTGAGTCCTGTGGGCAGAGCTGGCGTGGCTGGTGACAGTGACAAGTACCTGGGCTGAGAGGTGACCATTTTCCATTCTGGGCTCATCATCCCTTGTCCCTCAGCTCCCAGGCACAGCTCTTTGCTTGGTGACACTGAGCCAACTGACCTGTAAATCCTCAGTGCAGATTTTCCTGTGTCAAGCTCTATCTGTTTCCATGGCAAAGAACAGTTGTATTTATGGTCATTCACAGTCCAGTTGGGATATAAATTTACTTCCTGCAGAACTGCCAAAAAATGAATTGTAATGAGGACTCCAGTGAGAAACAGTTGGCAGGTTGCACAGGATTAACTTCATGAAGCTTTTTGAAATCCAAGGCAGAGGACAGATCTAATTACACTAAAAAAGCAGATACGTAGGTGAAATGGTCTCTTCTTACTTCCCAAGCCACCTTTCCTGCTTCACTCCTCCCCCCAGTCGTGCTGTGTCAGCAGAGAACACAACCAGAAGCCCAGTTTTATTTCTGGCTCTGTATGAGAACTGTGAAAGATCCAGCTGCTCACACCTGGGTGGGGTTTCCCCCAGATGTTGAAACCTCTGGAAGGAGAAATTCAAACCGTCCAAATGGATGAGCTACCTTCCGTGCAGGTTCCAGGAGTAAAATTCCCTTTATGTGTTGTTTCCTGTTAGAGGAGCTATAAATCACTGGGCGTTGGTTTTAGGGAGGTGCAGAGCAGGGGGAAGAGGAACTCCAGGCTCTGAACAGCATCTCCCATTCCCACCTACCCTGCCCCTGCCCTGTTTCCCAGCAGTGTCTGTTCTCTCCCTGCCAGGTCCATGGCTGTGGGGAGAAGGCCAAGGCCCAGGCACGGCAGAGGATCAGCAGAGAGGGGGTTCTCTACCCCGGGAGTGGCTCCAAAGACAAATCCCTGGACCCAGCCAAGAGGGCCCATCTCCAGCGGCGCCTGGACAAGAAGCTCAGCGAGCTGACCAGCCAGAGGAAGAGCAAGAAGAAAGACAAGGAGAAATGAAGGATCCGGGTACTTCTGTCCTGCCTGTGAAGTCACGGGTCAGCCCAGGTGAACCAAAGATGCTGCTGAAGCTGCAGGGCCATGCTGAGCCCCCCAGGAGAAGGGGAGCCCCCGTTTGTGGGTGGCAGACAGCCAGGATACTGCACGCCTGGATCAAGGGGGGGCTGGGCCTCCCTAAGCCACAGAGCCAGGAGGAAGCAGGACAGCTTTGCTTGTCCTGGTTATCCTTGGCAGAGCAGGGGATGTGCAGAGGGAGGCTGGGGGTGCAGGGAGGGTGGTATTAAAGGCCCTTAAGCACTCAGCTGTCCCTGTGACTTTTCTCCCTGCTGCAGCAGGAGGGGGGGTGGCTGTGAGCAGGAGCCAGAGCCCTGGGTGACCCCCTTCTCAGGAAGGGTGAGTAAGACAATGGATGCCTCCAGCTCTGCTGGCCCAGCCCAGCAATCCTCCCAGCACGGTGATGGAGCAGACTGGTGTGTCCCCAGGGCAGCCAGCACAGCCCCAGTTGCCCTTTAGGAGCCAGCAGAGCAGGGCTGTGTCCCCTCCCCACCGTGAAAGGGGCTGTGGTCTCAGCCCCACCAGCCTCTACCCTGCTGCAGGATGTGGCCTCTGTAGAGCTCAACCCATTCAGTATCTCCTGTCCTTCCCACACCTGGTCCTGCTCCTTTAATCCCCAAAACTAATCCATTTTCCACACTGGTTTCTGCCTGCTGACCTTCATCTCCAAAGCATCTCTGTCCACCCACAGCCCCCTGCCCTGCCCCCTCTCCTTGATGGCCCCAGGCAGGTACTGATGCATCACACAGGGCCCACCACCCCCTGAGGAGCAGCTCAAGAAGCCACTTTTTGTCCCCAGGGTAGCACCACCCCACGAGGAAGGAAAAGGTGCTGAGGTGCCTCCACAGAAGAGTGTCTGGGGAAAAGCCCCAGGCCACATGTGGCCCAACACTTAGGGGCTGACCACTGCAGGTCTCACCCACGGGTGATTCCAGCACCAGTGGAAGGCTCATCTCGTCCTGACCTGGCTCAGCAGTTTGCAGGGGCTGTGAGACAGCCCAGCATCAGGCAGCTGACAGGCAGCTTTTCCCCCAGATAGTGCCTGGTACTGCTGACTGTCAACACCTTCCAAAAAAACCAAACACCCTTCCCCATCCTTCAGTAAATCTCATCCTTCAAACCCCCTCCACCTGCATCCCCAGTCCTGAGCAATCCTGGCTGACCTGCTCCTCCCCCTGCTCCCAGCATCACCTTGGCTGGTGCCCAGGTGAGAGGGAAGGCACCGGCTGTGGCAGCAGATGGGACACCAGGGCTCCTGGAGGGGAGGGTGGGGAGGAGGAAGAGCAGAGCATGGGAGAGGAAAATCTGGGCGAAGTGTTGCTGGGCGGGTCCAGGGGAAGGAACCTGAAAGGTGCCTGCCAGGGCTGCAGGGGGGGTGGGATGCACAGAAACCACAGCCCAAAGTGAGGGTCGGGCAGAGGAGACAGATGGGCAGAAAGGAAAACTGCTGCCACCTCAGCTCAGGTGCCACCACCGTGGTGTCTTTAATCAGTGATGAAAAAAGAAAGAAAAGCTCGTTCCTGGTGGTTTCCCCTGCTCAAAGGAGGATTCCATCAGGTGGGCAGCAGCTCCTCCCCAGGAAAACCCCAACACTTACCCAGGGGCTGGGCCAGGAGCCCACAGGCAGGATCCCACAAAGGGCTTCTTCCTCTCCCTCCCTCTGAAATGGGAGTTGAGCTTACAAATGACAAAAGGAGGGGTGATTCCTGTCTGCCTCTGCCCCCGGGGTCACCCTGTCCCCTCTGCACCTGGTGTCAGATAAATCGAGCAGGCTTTGGGATGAGCAAGTCCAAGTGGGACTCCAGGAACAGGGGCTGCAAAACCTACCCCCCCACGTTGTGAGGTTTGCCTTAGGAGAGCAGGGATTTCCCGGGCTGTTCAAGCAGCCCCCAGGGTGGGTTTAGGTGGGAAAAGGGGCCAGGGTGGGAAAAGCAGAGCTGGGTCATGTTGGACCTGCAGGAGGTGACTCAGCCTGGGTCTGACCACACACCTAAGAGGTTGAATCCCCCTGGGTGAGCCCAGCCAGCCCCTGCAGCAGCCACGGGCTGAGGGTCCCTCTGCTTGAAGAGAGGTGGGAGGAGACACCGGATCTAGTAACAACCTCATTTTCTGCTGTTATTTCTCCCTTTTTCCCATTCTCCTCGGAAACGTTTCCTCCCCGGTGCAGCACATCCGAACCCCTC